ATCTTTTAATATATATGAAACACATTGAAAATATTGGATTATAAGAATAAAATATCCTGAAGTACTTGTGATATTTGTCTTTTAAGCTATAGATTTGGCAGTCAATTTGGTGGTAGATTTATTTATTGTTATTAATGTTTATACACACTTTAAGTATGATGTTTGTCATTAACAAGGTCACTATAATTTTTATTTAAATAAGGTAAATAATTATTTAATAAGTTGTGTCACCCTATTATGAATGTTCAAAAAGAAATGACAGATTGAGAATTATTGAAACGTCAAATTGGACACACAGTACGGCAGCATGGATTTTTGTTCTGAGTGTGTTTTTCTTTTACCCCGTCTCGACGATTTCATTTTAAACAAATACTTAAGGAAATAATAATAAATATTTGCGACTGAGGTGGAAATTATTATCGTAACGGATTATAATTGTGTCTATAGTGCGTTCGTAAAGACAAAATATGTAAAACAACATAAATTAACTGTGATCTGCTTGTAATTTCGTTGGCGTGAAAAAAATTAACGTAACAATAGTTCTAGCTCTGACTTCAAGGCGATGTGTTATTTATTGCATTCGGAAAGGAATTGTATCGCGGTCATTCGATAGGTTAGCAAATTGCTGAATCCCATAATCTAATAAAGGCTGATAGCGAAGTAATTGTTTTCATTGGCATTAGGTGTTCTCGTGATCGCGACGCGATATGTGGATCTGTTGTTCACAGCCCACTGTGTTTACATAAATCTGTTTCCATTAAAATTCAATTGGTGCAAAAAGTGTCCTAGTGACGGAACTCTTTCGAAAGGCTTTATCCTAAAAGCAGTGCAGCACGAACAAAGCGCCAATATTGGTGCAGCTGCTGTCAATTTATCAACCAAGAAAAGAAATTTATGAAAAACATCTGCTTGCCTATATGTTGGTTGGTACCATAATTTTTTCGGGAAACGAACAAATAAATAAATAAAATATTTATATTACTAAATTTTGTGCATATATCTACAAAATGCCTAAGATTTATATTAAAAAACCCCTTGGTGGTATGGTGATACGTAATCGGAATGCCATAAAGGACGTAGTTATTACAGTAAGTAAAATCAAAATATATAGATATATATTATTTTAAATTAGTTATATTTATGGCACACGTTTTTTTCGAAAACATGTTGCCAAGATAATATATCAGTACGTGATAATGGTAATTGCGGATGATTCACACCAAGTGCACGATATAGCTAACTAAATAGCTTTTCTGGAGTATCGAAATTATACAATTATTTAAAACAATACATTTGTCGCCATGAGTAAACTACTCCCAGTCAGCAAGCCGATAATTCCACCCACATGAATTGTTTTGAGCACACATATTTGAGTATTAGAGCTGGGCGGTGCTGATGTCGCCTCAATTTAATGTTTTTTTATGTGTGTACATATATACATACATAAGCTCGTATGACTTGTACCTACATACAAATGTACTACGTATGTACATATTTTTACAGTAACTAAAATGTCTTCACAGAGCCACTCATGTGCCAATTTTATTTATTTATTCCTTAGGTTTATTCTCTTTCACAAATCCACTAAATTTATGCCTGCTTTCGTTGTGGTTTCGCCTGGTTTAAATTACTTGTAGCTCGCCTCTTGATTATCGCTAGCTAATTTAGAATAAAACATTTTTATAAGGCTTAATTTGATTGTCGTACTAAAAATAGCCGGTTCAAAGCAGTTGAATAACTGAAGTAGACATTAATTTATTTATGTAGGTATTTACTTAAACGTGCACTCAAAGTATTTTAAATAATGATGCAAGTAATTCATGTGTACCGTTATTTTTCATAAAACGTATAGTAGATTATAGTTATGTTATGTGTGAGTCCACATACACGTCATGTGCTAATATTTTCGGGAATTTCCAAAATATCCGTCGCACAACTGAAGTTTATTTGAAAACATTTCATTTATTATCGATAGCTTATCATGTATAGCGTATGCATGGTATGTACGGATGTGTATACTAAAGTTAGCATCTATTATTGATTATTTTATTTATTGAATATTACATTGTTTATAAATATCGGAAAATGATTTTCGATATATTATTGTTAAGCATTTATTGCCAGACACATGTACATACTCTTGGTATTCGACTAATCGACTTACGTAGAAGAGGAAAAATAATTTTATACCATAAAAGCCTAAGCAGTAAATAAAACAAATCACAAATAAATACTCATTTCAATGAGTCATAAATATATTTAAATATTTACGAGAAATTTCAACGGTCAAAAAACTTAGTAATGTAACGAAATAATCGCAAAATTTCGACGAAAAGTGACAAAAAATTATTATTTTTTGTTTTTAAATTGGATGTTGTATTTTTATGAAGTTAGCGTTTAGTGGCGGAACCTTTATTTTCAACAAGTTTTTGACATATTTTTTTGGAAATAGACTCCTATTCGTTCTTCACAGCCTCCCATAGTTGTGTTGTCGATGTCGATTTATATCGAGCTAGAGAGTCCTTGACATCAGACCACAAATTTTGATGCGGTTGATGTCAGGGACCTTGGCGACCATTCCAATTCCTTTCATCAAACCACATTTTATCAACTTTACTTGTGTGTTCGGTATAATTGTCCTGTTGGAACATTCAAACAAACTGCATTTCTTCACTGGCATGGTGTTCTGAAGTATTTCGGCATAGGAGTCACCAGTCATGTTTTCCTTGATTCAATAAATCGGTTCCACACCATGCCAAGAAAAGCACGCGCAAACCATGATACTTACACCTCCATGTTTTACCGTTTTTGTTGTGTATTTCGGCTGGTATTCGGTATTAGGTGGACGTCTTACATATTGACGCTATCTCTTCATTTTGTCGAAGACCAATTTAAACGTTCTTTGGAGAACCTAACGGAACTTTTCTTGGACATCGGGCACCCAGGTCGTGATCGTGCAAACGGCGACGTACAGTTCCAACACTTATAGTTACATAAAGGCGTCTTTTATCTCTGTAGCAGCCGAAAATGGAAACTGTTTTGATTATCTGACAATGGAATTTACTTATCTTTTCCGCATTGTTAGAGCGCTACTAACATTTTGACCGCAACTGTATATGCCATTTTGTCGCTGATACACTCAGCGCATAGTCTAAACAAGCGTGGTTCAATTATGTCATATGTATTTATTAAAGCCTTGCTGCGCTACGATTTTATCGTTTTGATGACTTACAGCTTGCCACCCAAACAGGGTCTGGATAAGCATTATAACAACAACCACAACGCTTTTATCGCGGCCTCACTTAAAACTGTAATGTGTGACCAGATGACTATTTATATAATTACTCTGTTATCAATTATGGAAAATTTAATTTTTATTTTGAAATTACTAATCAATTGTCCAACTGTTTCAAAAATATATCAAGCAAATATCAGGAATGGCTTGAAGTTCGTTTGAAAAGAAAGCTTTCCTTTGTGATGCATGTTTAATTTCTTGGGAATTCTACATGAATATTTCACAAAGTTTTCATGAAGTAAAAATAAAAATAAAAAACCAATAATACATTGCTCAAATGTATAGGAAATTGTGTTATGTACACACATACATACATATGCACTTCAAGTTTGCATTTCAAGCTTATTCCATATACATAGTTGTAGATGTACATACGTACATAAATGCTTAGTATAGACGGCTAATGCACATTCCACGCACTTGAAATCATAAATAAAAAGTTTCAGTTCTCCCATGTTTTTATTGCATCATTTGAGAGAAGATTGGTTTCCCAGAACAGACTGTGGGCGAGTAAGAAAAGCTGCATATGTGAATGAAATCTTATTGGTATACCACGTGATTGCGTAAAGCTTGTTGCTCTTCTCTACCTCTTTTATGCGCGCTCTCGCTCTCTCTATGTTTTGGTTTATTTCTGCTCATTTCCCATTTTTCCTTATAAACATACACAATATTATTTAGGAAAAGAGCTTTTTCTTTGTTGTTGATAACAAACATATGAAAAATCTATATATGTATGTATGTACATACGTATTATCTATGTATGTAGGCTATAGAAGCTACTCTCTTCTTGGTAAACTGCCGAATGTAACGTTTGTAGTTGTTGTGAATTTTGTTGTTATTGAGAATGAAAGTAAAATGTTGTTGGTTAGCACGCAATCAAATGAGTATATTTTAAGCATTATAAAATGCGTCCAGAGCTTTGCAAATGAGCCAGTCGGAATTTAAGCTGCAGTTTTGAAACGTGAATTTTTTGTAAATTCAGTGATTACCGTAAAAGATCAGAAATTACAATAAAATTTAAAATAATTATAATCTAGTTTATGCGCCTAAATGTAGGCAATCTTTTTATACCTTGAACTGGGTATATTAAGTTTGTCGCGAAGTTTGCAACGTCCAGAGTCAACTGCCAGAGAACCTATTAAATATATATGCGAGTATAAATGGTTAGCGTGACGAACTGTTAATTTAGCCATGCCAGAAAATAATTGAAAACAGATAGTAATAATCAAGAAGGTTCAGGAACTAATTATTTATATATTATGATATATATTTTATATTTAAATATTCTGACTATTATTATTTTTTATTTCATTATATAAAATTTACGTACTTTTAATTATTTAAGTAAATTTTTTTTATAAAACTTAATATATCAAATATCTCATATTTTTTTTAAATTAAAACCAGGTTTTGCCAAGTAATGTGTGTATGTATGGAAAAAATTGTATGAAACATTTGAATTCGTGATTTTTAAATGTTAAATAAATAAAATTGAATTATTTTTAAATATTTTACATTATTTTTATAAAATCATTATAATTTTATAAGTATATTTTCAGACTAATTCGTTATTTTTGAAATTTTCTCTAATTGTTTTATGTACAATATAAAATTAACTTATTTACCATTTAATACAATACTTAGCAATAAATAATTGTATATTTTTTATGTGCAACTTTAATTAATTATATTAAATAATTATTTCCTTACATATTTAATTTTTTGTTTAATTTATGTATAAACATACATATGTGCATATCCGCTTTATATATTATAAAATATGCTTACCATGTATAGTTTTTATTACACGATTCTCAAAAACATCGTTGCATTCTTTGGCCGCAAATTTGGCCCTGGGCCAATACAGCAAACTTTTGCCAATTATAGATATAAAAGAACATCAAAAGCTCTGTGGAAAGCAAAAGTTTCGCCGTTCATACGCTTTTCCCACTCGTTGGTGTGCAAAATGAAACGTGTGCATACGCGAACGGTCGTGAAAACTCGGCTTCCTTTTATATACCTTTTTATTTTAGTTATTACTAAAAAATTCTACACATTCTACAAATTTTAAAGAAAATAGTGCAAACAAACTAAAACATTTTTAAATTAATTGTGCAATGTCAATAATATTTTGCCTAAATTTAACGCGAAACAAAAACTGTTCATCGCAGAAATTTTGTTGTAGTGCAAGTTTGCCTCAATGCCACTAGAAAACAACAAAACAACAAATGTGATACAAGAAATAATTATATCGAAGTGTTCGAAACGTGTCATCAATCAATATTTAATGGCGAAACCTTAATGAAAAGTGTTTATTCATAACTGTAATATATGTAGGCGTACATACATATGTATAAATAAATCAAAGCAAGTTAATGTCCAGTTTTCAAACACCAAAAATGAAAGTGTTATTTAATGCTAGTGAACATGCCTACATAAAAACATATGTACATAAATTCATATGCATGCACCATAACGGAAAGTTCACAGAACGAAGCGTCCTATCGATTTTCTAAGGCCCTACTATTATTAAGCAATGAAGTGGCAATAAAGTAATAAAGTAAAATACAGAAGCAGGCAAAAATGTCATCTTCACACATGTTCTCTTGCTGATTAGTACTGTAAAATTCCATGCCATACTTAGCATATGTGCACGCACCTCATATGTACATATATACATACTTATTTACATACATACATACATACATATACATATGTTTGCCAACTATGCGACAATTTTGTTGTTGCATCTCTTTTGTGCGTTGACTTGTGGCTAATTTTTCGCTAGTGCCAACTGGGTTTGCCGTTCTTACTTTTTTGCTTTTGTATATTTTCTCCATGCTGTAATTTGAGAATGCCCAAACAAAGGAATTTTTTTATGCATAAACACAATGAGTTTGAGTTTGCAACAAGCGCATAAGCGAGTTACAGAATGTCAGCTGTCATGGCACTGGAAGCACTTGCACACGCAAACACATGTCTTGCTAATACACAATAACATATACATACATGCATAAATATGTATATATTATGTACGAGTATTCAGCATATACATACATACTTATTATGCCAATTATATGACAAAAAAAATAATTGAAAATTTCCATATAAACACATATGTACATCTGTATGTGTGAGTGTGCGAGTTCAACGCAAACATTTGCTTGTGCGAATGTGACATCACGACTCCTAGCGCAGCTACTCAAAAGCGGTACAACGCGGCGTATGCGTAATTTATTCACAACACTGGCGTTCAATATGTAATTCGCACTTTTTAAGTTAACAAAAATTGTGTTAACCATTTAATAAACGTTAAACATTTGTAGCTACATGCAAACATACATACTTTGACTTATAAATAGAAATTAAAAAATTTTAAAATATGAACTACAGTGCTGTCTATTATTCATCTAGTTAATGCAAATTTCTGTTTGCTTTCCGTCAGCTATTTCTAACTTTTACTGTCTTAGATGTAATGGAAAAAGTCAATAATGATAAAGTAGGTGAAAAAATAATAGTCAAGTAAGACTGTATGTATATCTAATTAAGCGTCTATGGACAGCTAATATAGGGGCAGCTAAGGCAGCGCTTGGCTGCCGGTTTCATACTATATAATAATAAATGTGTCACTGAATTTCACCGCCCGCGTTCTAAGCAGAGTCAAATCTAGATTTTTTAGTTACAATTTATTGATGGCCCAAAATACACAAACAAAAGTTATTACATAAGTTGTATTTACTGAAGTAGTATTCGTAAGGCTTCTAGATAGGGCTTACCGCAGCGCACTTACTCCTGACATCTGCATTTCAGAAACATGGAATGGTAGATGTTTGTCCAAAGCGACGCTATAATCGCCGAACAAATTAGTCAGATCGCACCACTATAGCATATCGCTGCCTATGAGCTCACCGATCAAACTCTGGATACATTTCTTTATTAAAGATATTTATTCCTTCTTAAGTAACCTTGACTAACCTGACATGAAGATTTTTTAGTTACGAGGTGTGTTCCAAGGAAAAGGTGAATTTTGATTTTCGCGCGCTGTGCACATTCGATTATCGATATTTTGTTTTTGTTATAATCGGACACATATGTTTATCATATGCTTGCATTAGAAGCCAATTTCGATTAGTAGTTTATTTTTGACAACAGAAAAAGGTTAGTCACGTTTTTGTGTGCTCGTCGATTTTTGACTTTTGAAAGAAATGGATCAAAGAATGTGTATTAAATTTTGCGTAAAATGGAATAAAATGGTCCCAGGGGTTCGAAATGTTGACTGTGGCATTCGATGAGTCCACTTTGTCTCAAAGAAGTGTTTACAAGCGCTCTACGGAAGGCCGAGAAGATGTTCATAACGATGAGCATCCTGGAGATGCGACCACGTCAACAAGGAAAACATCGAAACAGTGAAAAAAATTGCTCTTAAAAATCGGCGTATCACAATTAGGGAAGTTGCAGAAGATGTTGGCATATCAATCGGCTCATGCCATTCAATTTTCTCGAATGTTTTGGGCGTGAAACGTGTGGCAATGAAGTTTGTTTCGAATTCACGAGCATGCACCAGCTCACACATCAATGTTTATTCGTGTACCACCGTAATCACCAGATTTGCCTCCCTGCGACTTTTTTCTATTCCCAAAATTGGGGAAACTAATGAAAGGAAAGCGTTTTGTCACAATTGATGTGATCAAGTCAAAATCGAAGAAAGAGCTGATGGACATACCGAAAATTGTATTTTAGAAGTGCTTCGCGGTTTGGAAAAAGCATTGGCACAAGTGTATCCGAGGGTGATTACTTTGAAGGGGATAAAATAGATATTGATGAATAAATAAGTACTTTTAAAAAATTAAAATTCACCTTTTCCTTTGAACACACCTCGTATACATGTACAATTACTACAATAAAATAAATTCTTCTGTGAAGGGTATTATAGCTTCGGTGCAACTAAAGTTAACGTTTTTATATTTTTTTAAATATTTTTTTTAACAAATAGCCACATTTTTTAGCTCGATTATTCTTTTAAAACTGTCACTGGATGTGAGGAACCACCCTTATAGCTAAATAACACACACAACATAGTCACATCACAACACTGGCAAAATAACCTATGTATCTGGCACCCCATATACAGTTTTTGACATAACTTTTTTGTTATTATTCTCTTTTTTTCAATTTATTAAAATGAAAATAGCAAACAATACGGGCAAACACATAAGCGTTGTTTCTACACAAATCAAAAGTGCATGAAATTTTTGTGTGAAATTCGGCAATTAAAAAATATATTAAAATAAACAAAAAACAAGCGTTCAAAGTAAAACTAGTAAATAAAGCAAAAGTGACTTGAGATTTCGACGAGTTTATTACCAGCAGCAATTGCGCTTATTGATATGTAACAAATGTCTGCAAAAGTCTCGAAAGAGATATCAACAGCATGTGAAAACGCTGGCGGATGACAGATCCGCTGACAGGCCGGTGTGTAAACAGACAACTCCGAAGATAACAGTTGTAAACAAGTCAAAAACTAACACCATCTGTATGATAAAACAGCGAGGCACAGAGCCGGCCGCGAATCTGACTGATTGCAGTTCCAAACCGTTCGCGGCGGCAGTGAAACGATGCTTTGTTACGCGCGCGTGCAGTCAATAAAGTGAATTGGTGAAAACACGTTTCGAACGCTTCATTTAAAAATATATTAAACTAATTTTATCAATTGTGTGTTGCCCTTGGCTCTTGCTCCTTCCACTCACCCACTTAGTGCGCTGACGCATTCATATAACGAGGCACACATATACACACACACAAATACATAGTTATGTGCGTGTGTGTGTTTCGGTATTGTTATATGAATGACTGCTCAATAAAAGTTTATAATTTCAATCAAAAAGCGTCTAATTAAATACGGCGAACAGTTAAATATTTATCATTAGAACCATAGTGATCGCTTATACATACCTACACACACATACATACATACATACATGCATATGTACCAATGTGGGTGTATAAATCATGCTGTGATTATAAATGCAAAAACCAAAGCAAAATAACCGCAAATATTTAGTCAAATCGAGCGCATAATTCAGGGAATAAGAAGAAGAAGAGAAGTAATCCGTTTGAAAAAGTGTGATACGCCAAGCGAAATTGTGTGCAATTAGATTGTGAATTCCAAATGCCTTAGTGGTGTGAGCATTGAACAAACATTAAGTACAACAGCTTTATCAATACAACAAAACATACACATCACCTACAACTACACACCTACAACAACTATAACTGCTTAAATAAAACGAGTTTAAAATAATTTATTTATCGAAAAAAATCGATAGCAGAATAAATTACTTATCGAAAAACCGATAACAATATAAAGCATATATCTAAAAATCGGTAATAGCATAAACTATTTACCGAAAAAAAATCTAAAAAAAAATTTATTTATCAAAAAAATTGATACCAAAGTAGAATATAATCGGAAAAGTTGTCGAACAAAAAATTTCGATTACTTGCAAATGTTTAACATTTGCCACACAAGTAAGTTGAAAAACTTTGCGCCGTCATGAGCATTGATGTCACAGCGTCTCATGATGTCGCCGAAACTTCCAACACAGACGATCCAGCCTCCAGCTGTGAGATCACAGAGGCCGATACGACCAGTTTTGAAATTGACGAAAGTGAGGACGAAGCCACCATTACGGACCAGCTGGTCGATGATGTGGCCACCGCCCCGCCACTAATCGACGCCACCACAATCGGACCATTGTACAACAATGGCGAGCGCAAAAATAGCAACATAGGCCGCAGCAGAAGCAAAAGCCGAAGCAGCAGTCGCAGTAGCAGTAATTGCAGTAGCAGCCACAGCAACAGCAGCACCTACAGTATCAGTAATATACCGAAGGATACCAATGCCAATGTGGCAAGTGATCTCAATAAGAATGAATTTATAGCCGTTGTTACCATTAATACGCTTAATCCACTAACGACCGACAGTCTTGTCGACGAACAAACAACCGTTGTTGTAGAGCAACAATCACATGTGCAACAACAACGCACTAAGAATATGCCAGCAATTTTCGCTAGAGACGACACGGAGGATAATAGTGGTTCAAAGACTTCCACTGCCTCGCACACCACTTCATCGACGCCCACAACGGCAGATGTCGCTAATGTTGTGATGGATGCTTCTGCTTTTAATTTGCTGAAGAAAAATGCTGCACTTGCTTTGCCAACGACACAAGCACAATTACAAATGATCGTCGCTTCGGCTGTCACTGCACAACAGCAACAACAACAACAACAACAGCTTTTAATAGATTCAAACAATGCAGCTTCCATATCCGAGGACAATATATCGTTTTCCATAGCAACAACTACAACAACAACTATCACTGATTTCGACACAGACAATATTTGCACCGCTAGTCCAGACGCTAAACTAATGCTGACCAAACGTGCACTACTACAAAATCAATTAGCTAATTTAAGTCAAAATCGATCGGCTTCGACGATCGCTGATAATGATCCAACAACAACATTAGCATATGTAACGAGCGGCAATGATATGCCGCTTCCGCCGGTGCGCACGGTGAAAACGCAATGGCGCTGGGTGAACTGGATCCGTTGGCTTTGCGTGCACTTTAAGGTGAGATTGAGGAGCACTCGCTTCTAGACTCTGGAAGTGAACGTGCATGAAGTATGAAAAGTATGAACTTCAGATAGTTAACGGTAGAATATAGATGTGTATGTCTGTATAAAGACTGGGCTTCATTTAATAGAATTCCGCGAGATGTTATGACTTCAGATGAGAAAAACCTTATTTCTCTTTTTTGATCTCTGAATTTAATTACTACAATCCTAAAACACTTTAGTTACATACATATAAAACAAATTAGTAACATTAGTAACATTCAATGTTGAAAATTAAACCCTTTAAGTAATAGGTAACAAATATTTAAAGATAAACCATAATAACGAAAATTAAAAAAAATATTTACTCGGAAAATTTTTAGGTTAATTTATAGACCGATTTGGTCCACTTCTGTCACCCCCTTATCGCTTGTTAAGGTTAATGTCACACTCAATTTCTATTATTTTTTAATTCTCTGAAATATTCATAATAAAGTCAATCATACATACGAAAGTAGTATAGATACCCATTATATGGGTTCTAGAAACAAATATAAGCCGATTTCAGCAATTTAAAGTTGCTTTCTCCTTTAATTTTCTGGATTTAACTCAGTAAATGATTGTAATGTAGGTTAATATTGGCTGGAAGGCCAGAAGTTATTTTAATTGGGAGGGTGGTGTAAGGTATAAAGGGTGATCCATTTCGAGGTCGCCTATTTTTTTGAAAGAAAAAAAACAGAAAATTCGAATTTAATGGAAAATGTTTATTATCATTCGAAAGAACATTCTTTGACATTAATTTTTTAAAGATTATCTCTTTGAAATGTTGGCCGCGGCTACGTCTCAATGGTCCATCCGTTGAGTCCACGGCTCTTGGTGGATAATCGACCGGGCCAAAACGTGAAATTATCTGCTCACCGAAATGTTCTCTCAATAAATCCATTGATTGATATGATGTGTGGGAAGTGACGCCGTCTTGTTGAAACCAAATGTCGTCGAGATCACGAGCTTCAATTTTATTTATCAAATAGTCGGTTATCATGACGCTATAACGGTCGCTATTAACGGTTACGTTCTCACCGGCATCATTTTTGAAGAAAGATAGTCCGATGACCACACCAAACCGTTGTTTTTTATGGATGAAATGGCAGCTCTTAAATCTCTTCAGGTTGCTCTTCGTCCCATATGCGGCAATTTTGCTTGTTTATATACCCATTGAGCCAGAAATAGGCGCTGATAAAATTTGGCTCGAAAACGTCTGATCTTCTTGGAACTTTTCAAGAGCCCATACAGCGAAGCGATGTCGCTTGGAAAGGTCGAGCGGCTTCAGTTCTTGCACAAGCTGTGTTTCGTACGCTTTCAATTTAAGATCTCGATGTAAAATACGCCAAGTCGATAGTGGTTGAACGACTCGCATGCGACTAGTTTTCGATCATTTCACGATCTTCATTAAATGCTTTATGCCACTCAAAAACTTGTGTTCGTGATAAAGTAGGCGCCCCAAAACACTTCTACAACATTTTTCACGATTCCGTAGCCGTGATTGCATGTTAAAAATCGTCAGACAAACTTTGATCTTGAGGTATATGGACATACATATGATAGTATATGACAATACGAAAAAAAAATTTATGTCCATCTTGTATGATAACAGATTCAATATGTTCGCCATTGTAATGTTTGCATAATTGCAAGTGACATTACAATAATCAGTAATCAGATTTGATAAGCTTCTCAAATAAAGAGTGGATGGGTACATATATACATATATTACATTATTTTACTGAATTTATATTTTTTATATTTTTTATGCTCAAAGTACAAAGCTACATATTTATTTATATAATTTTAAAATAGTTCAGAAATCAGTTTCTTTCTAACTAACTCAAGTTGAAATGCAAAATTTGATTATTTTTGGCGAAAAATATGCATGTTAACTTGGCATGAACTGTTTGTGCTTTTCGTGATGTCAGCAAAATGTTTGCATAACTTAAATATGCCACAAAATGTGATTAATATTCAAAGCAAATGCCGTGTTAAATATCTCTTTTATTTGAAGCTTAGTCAGTTTTTAAAAGAAATTGTTAAGTAATATTCAGGTTGGAAAATAATAAGTATTTTAAGGGGAAAAACAACGCTAACTTCGACTGTACCATAAAAATCAATTTATATGACAGCTTTTTGCTATAGTGGTCGGATATCGGCGGTTCCGACATAAGAGCAGCTTGCTTCTTGGGGAGAATGGGGATTTCAGATCGATATCTCAAAAACTGAGAGTCTAGTTCGCATATAACTCCGACGTTTTCTTCTGGGCATTACAAACAACGTGGCAAACCCAATATGCCCTATTCCTATTCAGGGCTATATAATAACACTAAATATAAGTTTTTCTGAAGTAAGATCTGCTTAACTTAAGCCGATATTCTTAAACGTAATCTAAAGTTATATTTTGCAAAATTTTCCATGTGTGAAATTTATTCTTAAGACCTCGGAACCTCTTATATTTATCCACTCCTGACAATATAGCTATTTATATGACGTGTGTATAAAAAAGATAAATAAATAATATATTGTAAATGGAAATCTGTTTCAAAAGCATCATTACTTTGGTAAATATTTTCTCTTTCGACTTTGTTTATTTTTGTTTGAATAATTTCGTGAAATCGCTACTCTTTATTCACACCATATGTTATACTGAGATTATGCGTCATATTCATAAGTACTTGTATAAGTACATATGACGTTGGTAAATGTACTATAAAGATACCACCTGTCAAGTATGTTTTCTCCGAGGTAATGTATTGTATGAAATAAAGCTTGTGCGGTCTACAGAATTTAAAATACTTGTAAAAATAAGTACGTATATGTGAAGTAGTCGTGGTTTTTTCTTGTCTTAAAAAATACGGAAATTGGTTTTCGCGCTAGATGGTCCTAGTGCCGCGATGTTTAAGTATTTATGAAGAGGGAGTTTAGGTACAATACAAATGATTTATTTTTTTGGTAGCGTGTATCTAAATAAATTTTTTAAGTTGAGACATGTGACTTTATCGCACCTGAATAAATAAAATCGAAGCAAGTCAGTTTGGTAGGCAAAAAAGCTAAGAGCAGTGTAGTCAAACCTTTATTTTCTAGTTTATTATCTCACTTATTAATGTTATTATGACTTATGCTGGATTTTTTTTTGTAAAAACATCAGCGCGGCGATGCAAGGCCAACAAAAAGAAAGATAATTTATTTTAAAGATTAAGAGTAAATTTCATCATATTTAATTACATATACACATACATATATGTCTCATAAGTCTCAGAGACTTTAAGCGTAATATTATTTTAATTTGTACCGCCAAGTTCTGATTCAGATAAAATTGGACAAACCATTATTGCAGTAGCACCCATAAAATATAACCAAAGTAATTTTTGCACAGAAATTTGTGCGGTCCAATGATTTAAGACATGCCTTTAACTTGTATTGGTAAGACTTTCATTGCAGTTTAAAAAATTTCTGTCTAAGACATAATCTTCAGCGTTCCATTTTAAGGCTATTGCTTCCTAAAACTCATTTTTATTCTTTACTATATTTTTGAACCATAACTTATCAGCAAAATCTATTTACACAAATATTTAATACTTGCATTTGTCATTTATTGCAGAGTTCCGGCATTGGCGAGCCTAGTGTCTACCACGCCTTGATTGTAATATTTTTAGAATTCTTCGCTTGGGGTCTTTTAACAATGCCAGTAATATCGGTATGTATGAAATGTAAACGCATCTTTAACATATTTTTACCGTTTCTAATCACCTATTACTTTCTTTCTTGCTTATAGACCCTGAATCAAACATTTCCCGATCATACGTTTCTTATGAACGGTCTGGTTATGGGCATTAAAGGCATTTTATCCTTTCTGAGTGCACCGTTAGTGGGCGCACTCTCCGACATTTGGGGGCGTAAATTTTTCCTACTCATCACAGTATTCTTCACGTGCGCACCAATACCGCTGATGGCCATCAATTCGTGGTGGTTTTTCGCAATGATCTCCATTAGTGGTGCGCTGGCAGTTACATTTTCCGTGGTGTTCGCCTATGTGGCTGATGTCACTACCGTTGAGGAGCGTTCGCGTGCGTACGGCTTAGTTTCAGCTACATTCGCCGCCAGTCTGGTATGTATACAGCTACATATGCATGTATGTTTGTGTTTATGTGTTTATGTGTGTATGTTAATTGAGCTGATGAATACCTTAGAAATATGTGTGACAAGTGACAAACTTAATTAAAGCTAATGCTAAAATAAAAATAAAAGAAATGAAATGAAATAAATACCATCTATTATATACCACTTTGCATACTTCATTTTAGGTAATTTCGCCCGCACTCGGCGCCTTACTAATGGAGACCTACGGCGATACATTAGTGGCTGCGCTGGCCACCGCCATTGCGGTTCTAGACGTTTTCTTCATTTTGGTGGCCGTGCCCGAAAGCTTGCCAGAAAAAATACGTCCTTCATCTTGGGGTGCGCCCATTAGTTGGGAGCAGGCTGATCCCTTTTCCGTGAGTAGCAAATGCGTATGAGCCTCAAATAGGTGCTAGCATTCATGTGTATATGTATATGTGTATATGTACAAGTATATGTGGAAAGATGTATATTAAATGACTTTAATTTGGTGTAATTTGTTTAATGAATAGGCGCTGCGGAAGGTAGGCTCCGATCAGACCATACTAATGCAATGTGTCGCTGTACTTTTGTCATATCTGCCTGAGGCGGGGCAATACTCGTGCATATTTGTTTATTTGAAATTGAAAATGGGCTTCAATTCAATGGAAGTGGCCGTTTTCATTGCTGTTGTTGGTACGCTAAGCATATCCGTGCAAGTGACTCTTGGTTATCTAATGCGGTGAGTATGAGCATGACTTGCATTCTGCATTTTGCTGCACTTATTAAATTTGAATTTGCCCATTTTTTGTTTCGTTGTTTATGTAAGCAAAGCTTTCTAATAAATACACGGTTTCGTTGTTGTTACAGGGTATTTGGTGCAAAAAATACTATTATTTTAGGTTTAGTACTAGAAATGTTACAATTATTTTGGTATGGACTTGGCAGTAAGTCTTGGTAAGTTGCTAATGTAATTTCATTTGCGTTTGCTTTAGAGTTAACCCTTTGTGTTCTATTTCATTACAGGATGATGTGGGCTGCTGGCATTTTGGCCGCACTCGGATCGATAACTTATCCAGCGATAAGCGCTTTTGTTTCAATCCATTCGCACCCCGACAGACAAGGTGAGTATCATATTATCCACATTTTGTACTAAGTAATAAATGGGTTTTATTAAAAAAAAAATGGCGGATGGAAAGTATATTGAAAATTCAAAGTTAATTAATTTTGTAGTTGTAGTTGTTAAAAAACATTCAAATATAGTTTTGAAGGATGCTGCAGTTTTTACAGTCCTTGGCGGGTAAAAAAAAACTGTCGGTTCCGGTTACGTGAACCTAACTGTTGAGGCCTATATATCAGAGCTTTTTAATAACATAATAATATATAAAGAAAGTATTTTTGAGACTCCCAGGTTTGTGTGTCAAAACGATGGTTGCGATTACTTCCACTACAACAACAACAACATTATTTCAGTAAATTTTATTAGTAATATTTTTACCTTCGAAAGTTCACCTTGAAGAGTTCTTGGACACGTGGACCCTGAATCTTAATTTTTTTTGTACCGAAAACAACCGCTGAGTGTGCTCTACTGCTAAGTTTAAGATTTAAAGTGCCTTCGTTTATATTTTCTGTAACATTTTATTGAACTACAGTTACTTCCAGATGGACTTTCGATAACAAAAAAGTCGTTTTACTATCTACTGCACAATATAAATGTGAAAGGTTCTATTAAAATCTTTTAAAGCAAACGGGAGCTAATAAAAGATAAGTTCTATACAATTTTTGTTTTTGTATTATAAAATTTTGATCTGGTGTTATAACTCTCTTTGACGAAAAAATCGTTGATTATCTAGCAGAAATGAAAGAAAAAAATCAATTGCAGATTTAGATACGCAAACCAAGAAACAACTTTGTAGACTTTCAGAAACACAAGGTTGCATCCATTTTCAAATCGAAAAAGTTAGAAAAAAGCACAGTCTTATGAGCTAGTTTTCCAAAACGGTTGGACCGATCGCTTTGAAATTTTCACGCGACCTTCTTAGACAAATTTTCCAGGTAATGGTCGAGGGACTAGGATAATAAGTGTTTTTCACAAAAAAAATGTGTTTTTTAGGGAAACCGCTATTTTGTAAAAAATAAAAGTTTGACTAGTCCTTTGATCATTACGCGCTTTCATCTTTAGTCATGATAATATAGCTTTTCAATAAATTTTTATTAAATATACATTTAATATTTACCTTCTTCTTTACAGGTGCCGTTCAGGGAATGGTAACTGGCATGCGTGGTCTCTGCAATGGCTTGGGACCAGCTTTATTTGGTGTAATTTTCTATTTATTCAATGTTGACTTGAATGATGATATGTTGGGAAAACCTGATGGCCCAGTACAAAATGACAGTAATAAATACACAGAATTGATACCAGGTCCACCATTCGCTATTGGCGCCCTTATGGTAATACTGGCGATTTTGGTTGCACTCTACATTCCAGACAAACACAATGATATCAATGTGAATCGAACTTCGAGTGAAAAGAAGCGTAAATATTGCATAAAAATAAATCAGCAATAATTTTACATTTTTACATTGCGTTTAATGTTGCATTTTCAGGTGCCTCTGTGGATGTGCAGTATGAAATCGAGTGCGGCAACAAGTCGACGAGTCCACTAGCACCGCTAATGCGATCCGACTCCATGGCACAATTGTAGCTTTTAGTAAATTAAAACCAAATATAAAAAAGAACATATTTGTTTTCGTATTTTTCGAAGAATTTGTGAAATGCAGAGCAGAGGAAAGGATAGAAAGAAAAGAAAAGATATAAAAAAAAACCTTAAATAAGTGCTGACTTTTTTTATTTTGTAGATGCTAAATTTTAAGCTAATTACAAAATGAATTCCTATACTGAAGTTATTTATAATTTTAACTTTAATTTAAAAAGAGCAAATGTATTTTTAATGCATGTATGCATGTTCTGTTCTGTATGTATGTATGTGCTGTATATAAAAGAAACAAACAAAGAAAAAACACAAAAACAAATGTAGAATATTAAAAGAAATAAGAGCTCTGAGCTTTGTTTATGGTTTTATTTTTAAAAACCAATTTTTGATTAATAAATTTGTAAAATACGCAAATATCCCAACGTCCCCACATACGATGTTGTGCTATAATTATTAGTTACATAATCAGCATCAGTATGCATATACGTACGCATAAATTGCAATTTGTTTTAGTTATTTTTTTCACTTTAGGTGGCTACTCCACTAAGTTCAAATGTATACTTTAATAACGAGAGTTGAAATATTTTTGTGAAACCTTAAACATAGCGTTGTACTGGAATATAATAAAAAAGAGAACGAGTGCGATAAGCAGATTGCATATCTAAAAAGTTGTTATTGTTGTCGATGTTGAGTTGGATTCGTTTCTATCACAACTAACTGCATATCTTTTGAGTATACAAATTTATGTTTTTATATAACATTATAAGACTAATAATAAAAAATATTGTAGGACTGCAATAGTCTAAAAGCTTAGTTTCGCGTCTAGAGTCAAGTGTTTAACAACTTATTAACCAGGGCTGCAAATAATGCATTAAAAATAATTGTATTAACATTTGAAATTTTTTTTATTATTTTGTAATCCCGAAAATCGTAATTAAAAATAATTTTTAAGTTTTTAATCTCGAAAACCGGATTAAAAAAAAAAAAATTTTAACTTTTAATTCCAAATATCTTAGATTAAAAATTAGGTTTTTTATAACATCTGAATTTAGTATTGATAATCTAATTTTTAATCCAAAATTTTTGAATTCAAAAACTCGCACCGCTGTTATTAAGTACTAATACTTCTTTTGTAAAGAAATGTTCAACCTCGTGTTTAGTATTGTGCATTTATTTTGGATTTATGCTTTTAAACACAGTTTACAAACCGATAATTGCACTACTAACCAGATTAGAGCTATATTCGATCTAATAATGTCCATTATGCTGCTACATTAACCAATTAGACACTATAACTGTTTATTCTGTAATGTTATGTGAAATTATCCAACCCACAATTTTCTTATTGCAAAACATTAGTACCTGCTAGGCATAGTAGTACAGGTATTTCAATAACTGTATACAAAAATTGATTGAAATCAATAATTTTAAATCTCTCGTGGGGGACTGGAGCAAACTCGCATTTATTTTCCATTAAAGTGTAAATTCTTTTTTTTTTGCGAAAATTTCTTTTTATTTTGAAGTGGCCTTTTATTTAATATTGTATATATAAAAGTAATGTACATTTACAGAATTTAAGGTACAATACTTTATAAATCGGTGATTCATTTTGAAAAATGTTTGATTCCCTTGACACAATAAACAAAAAGAGCAAAACGCGTTTAAAGTTTTGGGAGTCGAAATCACTTAATAAAAGAGTTCTTACACATACGCTGATATCTCCGAAGCTGTTTACCGGATTAACTTCAAATTTTCGGAGAATATTCTCAATTGTATGTAATCGGATATAACCCTTAAGTACTCTCACTTCAGCAATAAAATTTATTGTGATATAGTTCATGCTGCCACAACAACAACAAATGTATAAAATGTATTCTTAATACTATTACACCAACAACAACTGCATAGTCGGAAAGGAAAAACAAACAGGACGATATTACTCGCTCAACAGCAGGAAATATTGCCACACAAATTTCAGTGTATTTAAAAAGTAAATATGCGCTTATATTCGTTATCATACCGCTTCGTTTGTGCATCAGTTATTTGTTGCTTTTTTGTTTTACAAATATTGACAGCTCATTTTCGAATATTCAATTCGTTGGTACAAACTTTGTAAATAACAAAATTGATTTTTATTATTTTTTTTTTTTAATTTTGAAATAAAGCCGTTAAATCAATCAAACATATTTTTTATATAAATAGTTTATCGATGAATAATTGTATTTAAAATGCCAGTTAGTGGCTTTAGGTACACTCCAATTCCCGAAGAAAGGCAAGTAGATGACGAGTTCAGAGACGTGAACGAACCCGTTGAAATACCCAAATGGGCAGGATATGCCGTTAACGATTTTGGTACAAAGGTGGTAGCGTATGGTATGTTAATTTAACCGTTATGAAGCTGATTGTAAAAGTTTAATACATATGCGCATAATAACTTAAAATAGAGGATCGTGAAAATTGGAGCGTGATATTGAAAACTTTCGGAGTTGCTATGGCCATGTTAATTATAATTATTGCGGTACTGCTGATTGGGTAAGTTGCATGTACTATTTGGTTGCATGTGCGCAAGCTGAGTTAAATTGGGCGCTTAAATTACAGGCTGATCTATTTATTTTTGCGTTGCAAAGGCTATCTAAATCCGATCAGAGATTATGCTGAGAGGAGTAATCAAAGATGTGTGCGCTGCATTTTAACGCTTTTGATGCTCATTTTATTAGCCGGAATTCTGTAAATTTGTATACGCATGAATTTATCACGATTTTATTATAAAATTTTCTCTTAATATTCAAGCTATTTTGTGATAATGGCTATAAAAAACACGGTTGCCAAAAGGCACATGAAAGAGGAGAATAATTCAAAAACAAGAGGTGATTCCTCTGTGGCATCACAGCAATTAGATCATGTTTTCGGTTTAAATTTTGAGGAGTTCCAAACGCAAACACGTAACTCAGCTAATGGTTTGTAAAATAATGAATATACCCTTAACATTATACTCTGTTTGCGCCGAAGTTTATAACACACAGAAGGAGACGTCGGAGACTCTATAAAATATAAATACCATATATAAATGATTGGCGATTTAGCCATGTCCATCTGTCTGTCTGTATATACGTGAACTAGTCCCTCAGATTTTAAGATGTCATATTCAAACTTGGCACACGTGCTTTTGCCTTCAAGAAGCTGTTCATTTACTGGAAGCGCCTATAACGGACAGCATTAGCATATAGCTGTCATACAAACTGAACGATCAAATGCATGTCCTTGAATGTAAAACTCTTTTATTTGACAAGGTATCTTTCCGAAATTTGGCACAGGTTATTACTATCCAGGGCAATGGCATAATCTCCGTAACAATTGTATAATAATATGGTAGAATATTCGTAAAAATTGTTCAGATCGGATCACTAGAGCATATATTTAGCTGCTATTCAAACTGACCGCTCAATATCAAGAAAAATTGTACACTGCTTGTATTTTTTGCTATATAAAATACACCTGTTAAGGGTATTATAGCTTCGGTGCAACTGAAGTAAGCGTTGTTACTTGTTTTTCCTTTCGTTGGTGTAAGACATTTTGTTGTAAACTAGATTTAATCCTCAATTGGACTGGAATTACGGGTGACGTTAGCGATGAGTCGAAAACTCTGTGCCCACCTGCTGAGGATATAACCGATGTAAATAGACGCGTGGCAGCGGTCAATAACGAATTTGAGCTATTGTGTTTAGGAGTCTTGGAGTGGAGTGACTGTACGTATGTATACAATTAAATAAAAATTGTAACTGTACGGTAATTACGAGTAAGGACTGTCAATAGCTTAAAGGGGGCGGTTGGGGTTTTTAAATTTCTTTCGATTTCTTTTTGTCTAAATGAATGTATAATATCTCAAGTCGGTTGACAAAGTTATAAGTATTTTTTTACCTGTCTTATAAACGTTTTACGTCAGATTTCCAAACTTTAAAACGTTTTTCCCCACAACTCATGAACATAGTAAATTTAAAAGGGCATCAGTTCATAAAATTAGAAATGCGATTCGCGTCATTCTTACAGCTGATTAACGTTTTGCTTCGCTTTGCTTCAGACATTTGCTTTGACAGTTAAGTTCAACAGTAACTTTCGCACAGCTCACATTTTGACTACCATAGTGTGGACGTTTGGGGTATAAAGCGAAGTTGTTAACCGATTGAGTCACATACTTACATATAGCTTATCGACATACTAATTTTGCGTTATTCCTCTACCGTAAGCGTATTACGCATTTGCTAACAGTAGTTTCTAAATTGTTTATATATAATATTCTTTTATATATTCATTACATAGATATGCATTTTTTCTATCGAAATATGACGATGTTTTTGGCTCAAACCGATGATGGTCGCAAAGTCTTAAAAGAATTAGATTTTCCTAACTTTCTTTCAAAAACGATGCAAGTGGAAAAGGTAAGCATATTTTCATGAACGCCAACTTATTATGTTTGAAATATCAATTCAAATGTTTAAGGTTAAGTGTAGAAAGCCAATTTTCTCTCTTAACATGATATTAATAAGCAGATATTTAACAGATATTTATCCTTATTTAAGCTCTTGGATTTCTATCGCATCTTTAGTATTGTGGACAAATTTTTTTACTCCTTTTCAAAGCTTTACAACACGACCATGAACTGGCCAGAGAATTTACGAAGTAAAACGAAAAATGCATTATCTCCGTATTTTCTAGAAATAACAAAGGATTTGGGCGATAAAGGTAAGTACTTTTTAGTTTTCAGTGATTTATGTACATTTTTTGTCATTCAACTATTAATTTTCAATTCTGATGTAAGGTAATCAATTTCGATCGCTTTCAACGACACTTGCCAACAGACCACGTGGAGATAACAACGACGACGATGAAGATTATGCAAGTACCGATAAGGAAGAAGAGAATGATGATAAGTCAAAAGAACCGTTATCGATTTATGTACTGGACATCATATGCTATACACTTCTTCTATTGGTGAGTACACAAAATTCAAATGGTGCCTTGATGAACTGTGGTGAATTCACCGATTTTGGTAGTGTTGGTTTTGTGTGATTTTCTGTGTAAATCGAGGCTTTAATATAAACCATACTTTCAGATACAGCTTAAATTTGGTATTTCTTCTATTAGTATCTGAAACAGTGAAAATTCAAACTATTTCGGAATCAGCTTTAGAGCCAAAGCTTAAAACTGATTTTAGTTCACGAATTTAAGATCCTCTGTACGCTTCTTTGTAACTAAGACATTGTCGTTGAGGAATTTTTGAAAATCCCTTAATGAACCAACCTATTGATTATCATCACTTACGGCGTGAAAACCGTTTTTGAAAGTGTGATTTAAATCTTTCTTTGCCTCTCCAGATAACAGCTGTGCTAATAATTGCGTTGCTGTTAAGATGTTGTGGAAAACGTTATAGAAGTGAAGCTAGATGCTGCAATCAAGAAAATGGATCCTGTCTTTTCCAATTGTAAGTACCTGTAGCTATGAGATACTTTATAACTGTTATTGTTATGTGTTTCTATCACATTTTAAGTGCGGCTTTTTTGATGTTCCTATTTCTGCTACTCGTGTTGTATCCATTTCTGTGGCACTTTGTGCATGGTGCTGGCCGTTATAACGGTGTTTGTACAAGAAACGACACACATAAACACGAACGCTCCTTGGAAAATATTGAAGACAATTGCTTAGACCAAACCACATTTAAGAAAATCCTCGACGATCATGTCGATAGAAAAATTAAGTTAAATTTTCCAAATAAGAGCGCTACTGAAGAAGTGAAACTAAGTGCACCGGAACTACAGAAGTACACAATAAATTTCAAACAAAGCGCGAGAACATCAAAAACCCTCGATCTCAGAAACATGTGTGAAGATATTAAGAATAGAACGGATCCGAAACACTTAATTGAGGTTTATACACAAATGCAAAAGTACGTCAACAGCGATATGCTCGATAATCAATTGAAGACACTGCCGCAATGCAATTTGGAAAGCTTTAAGACGCGCAGAATAGACGAATACGAGAAGAGTGTAATCTTTATAAGCGCCACGCGTTTAACTAGCTATTGCAATACGGTTGTGGAGTTCTTTACAGATAATTATGCCAAAATTACAGGTGAATGCCTAAATGGCATCGAGAGTTTGAAAAACAATTTTTCCAAACAAAGTAACCATGAGTTGAGTGAAATAATGGCGGACTTGAAGAAAATGTACGCCAAAGAACTGGACGGTTATGTAGACATGGCAGCAGATAGGGTGGTTAATAAAGTTGGCTTGTGTCGCAAGGTCTCGGCTAGGTCAGCTGAACAGACGACAAGGGACTGTGATGCAAATACACATTTACAGGTACATTCTTTAGGCGTATTTATTTGTCTTCTTCTGACTGAGTTATTTTTCACTATTTGCAGAATGTGTCGTGGAGTGCTTTATTGATTTTGATATGGCTGGTATTGCCCCTAATACCCATAGCACTTTACTTAGCTAGATTATTTTGCATGTCCAGAGGCAGTAACTGTTCTTGTGAGCAAAGCGGAGCCGCAACCCGACGGAATGACGGGTGGAATACTAATGCGGTAATGGATGAGATGCAGCGACACTTATATAAATCCTTTTGTGAAGATTCAGCGAGATCGGGCCCTTCGAATGGTCAATGCAACTGCAAAGCAGGGCGGGCAGGTAATATGCAGGGGCCAAATTGTGGAAAAAGGTGCCTCGACGACGGCAGCGCTAATTTTGCTATGCTGCAACAAGCTAACGCTCTTTTACTTAAAGCAAAAGTCTGTAGTGAATCTACAGAGTCGGAGAAAAGTGGTATTCTCAAACCTAAACGGTTTAAAGAATCACAAAGACCAACAACTTCTAAAGGAATGCGCTCCATAAGAGCAAAACAATTAGCAAATGATAATAAATTGGAAACATCCTCTTTTAAGAAATGCGTTTGCGATAAAAATACTGCACAAATGGCGAATGGCCCTTCCAGTTCAATGGCAAGCAGCCGACAAAAAAAAAGAATGCGAAATGTTTGTGAAACTCTGGAAGAAATTGTCGAAGAGTCGACGGATAATGGGATAAACGGATTGAATATAAATGCTTCTATTCATATAATAACTTTTAATAAAAAAATGACTTAATCAATAAACTGCGATTTATGTATGTAAATTTAAGATAACGGTATTTGTAGTTGCCACTTTCAGTAAACAAAAAACTGTCATAAATATTCAAAGGTTGCAGAGGTTTGTTTGATCACTTGCGAAACAGGAAAGCGCACAGCCGGTTATGGCCATTGAAATAATTAGCTCGGAAATTAACACATACACACCGTGCAACTCATAAAGTCTTTGCATAAGAAGTGGATAAATGAAAAATTGAAATTTCGAAAAACCTCCTACCGTTATCTTTTATCCGAGACTCTCCAACGTGATTGTTGCAAATGCCGTATTTTTTAAATATTTCTACATGAAAATTTAACAATATTCTTCGAATGTCATACTACAATGTAAGATTGGTGTCTGAAAATAGATTTTAACTTTTTCATAAAAAAAGCATATAAACTAGCCCTGTTTTCAATGAATTAAGCCAACTTCCTCGTTAATATTCAATTACATTTATTGAGAAAGTAAACTCCGATTGGTTAACAAAAAGATTGTCTGGCAACACTAATTTTGATTCCCTGGCACCATTTACCAACACTATCACCAGATAACGTAAATTATAACAATAATAATAATTTACGTTCTCTGCTCAAAGAGTAGGCTTACCAGATCAATGTACAAAATTTTATGTTTTATTGCACATACTAATTGCTTCTTTATTTAAACCAAATGCACTAAATTGTTTGCAAATATTATTTTTATGGGTGTGCGTAACTTTACAAAATATATAATTTTTATAACTTAAGTACAGTGTTGTTTGAATAGTTTCGAGGCAAAACAAAAACTGGCAACACTCTGTGGATAATGAATTTCGAAATAAGAATGGGAAATGGGCAATTTGTGGAAAGTGAACATTTTCGTTTTCAGTGGAAGTTCTTGCTTCGGTTGGGGAAGACGTTTTTCCAATTTAGGGAGAGTAATGTGGGTGTATTCCGCGGCGCGGATGTGAAAGTTTCTTGTGTAAACTACTATTTATTGGAAATAAAAAGAATGGTTTAAGACAAAAGGTTAATCATAAATATTCAAATGAAATATATGTGAATTGAATCTCTGTGATCAAAATGTTGAAGAAAATGGTTTAGCCTGTTTAAAATAGTGTTTTTCGTTATTGTTTGCTTTGTCGATGCTAACAATACATATGCAAATTGATTTTTCCCCTAATTGGTGGTTTAGTAAACAATCAAAGCAATGAAGTGAATTAATGTTGCACGAAAAACGCACAAGTATTAAACAAATAAAATATGATTAAATGTAAAACAAATACGTGCTAGAATGCTGTTTAATTCGCAGAATTGAGTAATGTGAATATATGTAAAATTAATTGTGTTAAGTTGCCGAACGTACTTGAAATTTTGTTGACCCCCAGCTAAGACTACAACTGTGTATTAGAAGATAAAAGATAATTCAAGAAAAAATCCATCTTTAAAACACAAGTAGGTAGGCACACACATCTGTGTGGGGTTTATGATATTTTTAATCGCTTCTTGGCTCTATCTTTTGTTCTTCTTGTTTTACAATTCGTTACTTCATTCATAGCTGGGTGTCTACATGTGGACAGGTTCTAATATTTTGGTTTTTCAAATAAGTATTATGATAACAAAAATGCAAGAAATGGTTTCTGACTAATTTCTATAAAACTACAAAACTAAAGTGATTTTCTAATCTTGATTAGGAAATTATACATCTGTGCAACCTACACTTAAGCGCTTGGTGTTTTCCTAAATAAATTAAAGATATGATATAAAACCACAGTCTCGTACCATTGGCATAGTGAGTCGCTCGTATCTTCGCCACTTTGTTCTCGACAAGACTCGCATCAATTTAATTGTGTGAGAGTGGAACAGCTCTATGCCATATCCTCGGAATAAGCGGAAATACGTACGCATGCAAAGGTGTGTGTATGTGTATACAAGCAGCGCTTTATCCATAGTTGATATCTCCACTGTCTAGAAATAAAGCTAATGTTTACAAATTTTTACTACTGTATACACAATACAATCACTTGTTTGGTTTCTGATTTGAAGAGTTTTGATAAGAACCCAAAATAAGAAAAAAATATTTAAAGTGTCAATCCAACATCAGAGCGATCAACAACTACACAGTGATTGCATATCACGGATCAAGTGATTTATTATGTATTTAAAAAATATTAAGAAATTATCTGTAAACTTTTTTTTTTTTTAGATATTTTTGTGTGTATTTTTTTAACGCAAATTTATTTATTTATTTTTAATAATGCTTTGAGTTATTACAAAATTGATACTACTTTTGATTCTGAATGTAGTGTAGTTGCAAATATTGTAATTATTTAATACATAAACAATTTTAAACTTGGCTGAAATAATAAATTTTATTTAAAATATTGACTTTATTTGTAATTTGTAGTTTTTATAACATTGCTACTATGATAATAAGTAAAGTATTTTGAGCACTTAGGATCTATTTATACAAAATTTCACACATTTCTGGTAATCTAAAGTAAATTTAGTCTCAACAACATACATATGTATATGTATATGTTAAAACCACTTTTATGTATGTACATACATATATACATACATAAATATGTAAGTTAACACGCCCTTTGTTAATTTCTGACCAATAAATGCTGACTTGACATTTGGGCCGATTTTTGATATAACATATATATAACATATCAAAAATCGCTACGTCAGTCAACTGCAAATAATAAAATAACTTGTAAACAGGAAATTGCACCTTCATAACTTACTTTTGTAAAATCAGCGTCTGCTACATTTAATAAACCTGTAAACAGGAAACCGAGTTCCTGTTACTTTTGCTAAATTTATTAATAATACTTTAGTTGTAAGTAGTATAAAAATCAGTAAATTAAAAATGTTAGTTGTATTTTTGACTTCAATAAAGACGGACATACTGTCCGAATAAAAAAATATCTTTTTTTTTTAGTCCCTATGACTTAAAGGGACGTAACTTGTATGTACTGTACATATATACATACATAAATATGTATGTACTGACCTAATTCTAAATAGTGTCAGAAAGGTCGTCTTTTTGAAAGCTATAGATTATCTAATCTTAAGAAGAATATTAGTGCGTCTATTTATTATCAAATTGATATAGAATTAATTTAGGTTGATACAAATTATGCTATAATTTTAAAAAATAAATATCTAAAAAATAATTTCTTCGGCAACCGATAATTAAAGTTGGTGGTATTAGTGCAACACAGATTTTCTGAAAAATATTTCTGATAAATTTAAAGTTGAAAGTTAAATTTACGGCAAAACAAGATAAATCGTTAACTTCAGTTGCACCGAAGCTAAAACACCCTTCACAAATAAAGGAGTTTTCATACAAAATCTTGATCTTTATCGTTCAGCTTGTATGGCAACTACATACATATGTACATATGTATATGCTATAGTAGTCCGATCTGAACATTTTGTTCGCAGATTGTAGGGTTGCCTTGTACATTAATCCATTGGATCAATTTGTATGGCATCTATATTCTATAAAAGTCCGATCTTAAATTTTTGAAGATTTTTGAGATTGTAGCATTGCCCAATTAATGCCAAATTTTGTGATGATAATTTGTCAAATAAGAAATTCCCCATACAAGCACTCCATTTTGATCGATCAGTTTGTATGTGGTTATAGTGGTCCGATATCGGCGGTTTCGACAAGTGAGCAGCTTCTTGTTGAATAAAAGTCGTGTGCAAAATTTCAGATCGATGTCTCAAAAGCTGAGTGCTCAAAAGAGCAGATGGATATGGCTAAATCGACTCGGCTCGTCACTTCGTCGCTTTATATACCCAGTTAATGGTATAATTACTGTAAATTACATATGTGTAGTATATACCTTTGCTGTACATATATTCCGGAAGGTGTAAGCAATAAAAAATTGATTTTTTTTTATTTATTGTTAATTCATGAAAATATATATATATATATATATAATAACAAAGATAGATTTTAGCGAACGGCATAGATTTTGCGGCCGAATTTATGCAGCACAGTGTTTCAAGTAATTTTACTAGTAGCATTCATTAACAAAATTATTTTTTATAGTAATTTAAAAACCCACCAAATTTTATATGAGTAACTATTTTACCTACATACATACATTTGTATGTTTGAGCTATGTTTTTAACATAAATTTACATACTCGTATTCGTGTTGTTAGCTTAGTACCGCGATGACGTCTAATTCTTGAAACATTTTTATTGGTTTTCATTGTTATGATTCATCTGTGGTACATGTGTTGCCTTAATTAACGATCATTTTCAAGTCGACTGGTTTCTGTGTGTGCATGATTTTTCTTTAAGACTGGATTTAATAGACACACACAAACCTAAATTTATGCATCTACATACATATGAACGAAGTTATGTTGTTTTTTTGAAAGTGTGTATGTATGCATACGTTTTTGTTGTTGTTTTCTGCAGCGCGACTTGCGTTTTAATCTTTACACATTTCCATACATACATATTTATGTAAAAATAAATAAATGTGCACGTATGTATGCAGCTTTATATGAATTATAATAACACATTGCATTTATTTGGTCTTGGATCTTTTAAAACTCGCCAGTCTGCCATTTATTGTGCACACATAAGTCAACACATGTACTATTTATTTATATACATTATTCTTGATGAACATTCTGCTTTCATTGCTATTATTCTATTCTCCATTTTGTCATTGTATTTTGCTTTTTGCCATTTTCTTCAATTTTAGCACAAGTTGAGTTCACAATACAATCGTGATGCTTGGTTTGACTTCTGGCGAGTAACCTTGTCTTCTTGCGTCTGATTTCGCCATCTATTGTCGTTACAAGTTATCAACAAAAACAACTTTCAACACAGTTATCTTTTAAATCGTTCTTCATATCTATGCGTTGTTGTATCCATTCTCGTTTCTTTGTTTGTGAAGACGAACATACATATAAAAGAATGAATGTTACATATGTGTGCCAATAATTTTTCAACTAACGGTATAGCCTTACTTAAATGGGTACTGCTATTAATATACATCCAAACAAACATATGCATATATATGAAAAGGTTTCTAAACTAAGTAGGTTGTTGCTCTTCACTACTCCAAAGTTCTGTTTTATACCCTGGTCAGTTTCCCAGGATGAAACATCGGAAACCCTATAAACTATATACATATATACTTATGTATCTTCACGAAATTTGGCATTGATTATTGTCCAAGAAATTGCTACAATCTCCAAATATATTCTTCAGTTCGAACCACTATAGCATATAGCTGACATACAAACTGATCGGTCCTTGTATGGAAAACTTTTTTACTGGACAAGGCAATCTTCACGAAATTTGGCATGGATTATTGTCGAAAGGAACGCCACAATCTCCGAGCATGTTCAGATCGAGCCACTATAGTATATATTTTTTAAGATTTAGATATACAAGACCATATATATTAAGTGCAATAAGAAAAGCATTTATGAAGGATAAAGCTTCGGTGCGGCTGAAGTTAACGTTTTTTTTCTAGTAAGCTAACACTTTAGATATATTAAAATTTGTATAGTTTAATTGCGAAATATAGAAATAGGTTTCATCAGCGAATGCCAGGTCAAGAAAAAACTCTGTTTTTGGTGAAAGTGGATTATTGACAGAGATGTTATTACAGTAGGTTTTGCGAGTTGATTAGCATGAAGGAAAGACTCGTTTCATGCCGGATAATGTGTTCGGTTTTTTGAGGACAAGTCTTAACTATATTAGTAGATTTTACGCTGTCAACAAATATTTTATATCATTTTTAATATAATAATAAATAATAGTTAAATTTAAATAGCTGATGCCTAAGTGCCCAAACAGTCACCGACATTCCTCCCTTCCGTACTTACCGCCCGTATCAAACCAAATTTGTCAAAAGTTGTGCCCGTAGTTGCAACGCAGAAATCGGTTGTTCTCTTTTGTTTTCATTTCACCAACGTTGCCATTGTCCTATTTGTATACACGATTTTTCACACATTTAGTTTTTTAGTTATGATTTTTCA